CTCTAATGTTTTTCTTCTTCTCCTTCTCCTTTGGTGTCTCGTCAATCTTGTCGAGGTCTACCTCATCTTCGAGCATCATTTCATGAGTGAGGAGTGACCCAATTAGCTCTTCAAGAGTTAAGGACGTTAAGTCCTTAGACTCGATGATTGCCGTCTTCTTTGATTGCCACGATTTTGGGAGGGAGTAGACTAACTTCCTCACAAGCTTTTCATTTGAAATGATCTCTGCATATGATTTGAGACATTGACAATCGTTGAAAATCTATCCGTCATAGCTTTGATATCTTCATTTGGTTTCATCCTGAAATTTTCATAGCTATGCGTTAGAATACTAATTTTAGATTTATTTACCTCATCGGTACCTTCATGAGTGACTTGAAGTTTGTCCCATATTTCTTTGGCGGTTGTACACGATGAAACTCTTCCGTATTCATCTAGTCCAAGAGCACAAAAAATGATATGGATGGCTTTGGAGTTGAGCTTGAACATTCTTGTCTCTCCTTCACTCCACAACCTTGGATGAGTGAGAGGTTTGATGTATCCTTCTTCTACAACATTCCATGCTCCCATGTCACTTGCTTGAATGAAGTACATCATTCTATTCTTCCAATAGGCATAGTTAGCTCCATTGAAGAAAGGAGGCTTGTTGACGGGCATCGAGTCGAGACCGGAGTCGAAGTTTGAAGCGGAGGCCATTGATTACTTTGATTATCGATATAACTCTTCCCGAATCGACTCAAGAGGTGATTAAACCTTCAAATGAGTTAGGCTCTGATACCAATTGTTGAGTTAATCGATTGACAGAATTGGCCAAGAGGGGGGTGAATTGGCAATTAAAAATTTGGTGGAAGCTTTTGCAGAAAATTGAAAGTAATTGCACAGCGATTTATAGTGGTTCGACTTTCTCAATCAAAGTCTACGTCCACTACCTTAGCTATCCACACTAAGGATTTTCCAACAAATTCACTAATTTGTTCTTTCTTTTGAGGCCAAAGAGATAACCTTACAACACCCTCAAGAATATACCCCAATTCTTGAGAACACTCTTTCCCAAAGAGAAGATTACAAATTTGCAAACTTACAAGGAAAACCTCACAAGGTAAGATGTTTGCACAATTCTAGAACAAGAAAATAACACTCACAAATAATTACAAATGAGCACAAATGGTGTTCTTTGAAAGCAAGATGAATATTGAAAGGAAAATTGGCTTGATTTGCACAAACTTGGTGTTTGATGCTTTCTCTCTTGTTTCTCTATAATTTCTTGTTGATCAAGGGCTTTAGAACTTATTTAAATACACCTTGAATCACTTATGAATGTTGGGGATGATTAGTGAAGATCATATAGCCGTTTTAGTGTGAAAACAATTAATAAAACAACTTAGAGCGTGGGGGGAATCAGTTCCCCCTCATAATGAATCGGTTCCCTAAGTGTAAAATTTAAATATTTTGACCGTTGAACAGGGGGAAGGGGGAATCGGTACCCCCTATACGGGAATTGGTTCCCTTCGAGCATTCTGGAAATCTCGGAGCCAAACCATTCAGGGGGAATCGGTACCCCCTTGGGGGGGAATCGGTTCCCTCTGAGCAATCTGTAATTTTTGGCTTTGAAATGGTTCGAAATATTTTGAAAGATTATTTTGAAATTGTTTTAAGATTAAAACTTAATTTTACACTTAAGTAAGGATTAAAAATGATTTTTGAAATATTTGGAGTAATGTTTTGATATTCGAATAATTATATCGAATATACTTAGAAAATCATTTGGAAAATCTTAAAATTGATTTAACTTAATTTGTTATATCGAAATATCAAAATGTTTTCAACAAAATTTGATATGATTTTAGTGATATTATTTATATGTTATTTATTAACATTATAATTGTTATTACCCATTATCTAATATGATAGCACTTCTATGATTTATATTTGTTTTTAATAAATTTTTATCTATGAAATTAATTTTTTATTTTCAAAATAAAATATTAAAAGAGTATATTAATATTAATATATTAAAAGATAACTGTAAAATATATAAATATAATATTTTAGACATATTGTGATTATTGAGGACGAGATCACGCCCGCGACAGCTGCAACACGTTAAGTAATGTCCGCAGAATCCGCAACCGTAATTTGATATTATGCGTTTAGCCTGATGGTTAAGCCTTTGACGGTTAAATTCGTGTTGTCTCTAGCAGTGCAAAAAGACTAACAGTTGCGACAACTGGATATCAACAACGCTTTTTTAAATGGGGAGCTCCATGAGGATGTCTATATGATTTAGCCTCTTGGATTTGAACAAAGCTCTTCGGATGGTACAAGGCTCGTGTGCAAACTAGAAAAAGCGTTTTATGGCTTAAAATAGGCTTTGAGGAATTGATATTCTAAAATCCGAGATTTTTTTGTTTGAGATTGGTTTTGAGGGATCCAAGGTTGATGTGTCATTGTTTGTTAAGCATTTAGATGGGCATCACATGTATATTCTTGTTTATGTGGATGATATTATCGCCACTGGTAATCTTGCCTCCATGATTGATGATGTGGTTTGTCTTCTCAGTGCAAAGTTTGTTTTGAAAGACCTTGGTGCTTTGGGATACTTCCTTGGTCTTAAAGTTCAAAGGCATGCATATTGTTTGATTCTTCGACTAAAGAAGTTTGTAGTTGAATTGTTGGAGAAAACCAATATGTTACTTGCTCACTGTTGCTACTCTGATGGTGGTGACCCCAAGTTGAGTCAGAGGCAGGGCGTCCCTTAACAGATGCTTAGGCTTATTGAAGTGTCGTTGGTGCATTGTTATATCTCTGTCAACTGGGTGGCTCAGTACATGCATCGTCCTTGTGAGTTTCACTGGGATACTGTGAAACACATTCTTCGATATTTAAATGGCACACTTGATTATTGATAAGATGCATATTAGACATATATTTTATGATATTTTCCTCATATTTGAATAACTAAAATTGCTTAAATCATGGATTTTGATTATATTTTGTATTTTGTGGATTAGGTTGAAGATTTGGATTTAACAAGTTCAAAATCTAATGATTAGCATGATCTTCACAAAATCCCCAACTTAAGGAGGAAAAATCGGAATTCAAGAAGTTGGCAAGACCATAAGAGGTTTTCGCATAAGGCGTAGGCGCAGTTTATTCATCTTGAGCTATCGCAGAAGAAGTTTACAATTAAGGCATGGGCACGTCTTACCAGTCCGTATAACCTTAAATTAGGGTTATAAATTTACAAGGAAAAAGGAGTTTAATGACGGTTGAAATACTCTTTTAAATTATTCTTATCTTTAGAAAAGGATGAGGGTATTTAAAACCCTTATTTTTACGGGATTTTCTTTGGGGGGAAACTTCCTTATCTAGAATAGGGAAATCCTTATAAAAGGGGAGCTAGGGCTTTCATAGGAGGCGTGAAGTTTGCATTAAGTTATCTTTAAGATTATTTTTTAGACTTCATCTTTATTTTCTTCTGGTTTTCTTTCAATTATTAGTAGCTAAATACTTTTGTTCCAACTGGAGGATAATTGAAGTTTTGGTTCTTCAAGGATTGTGAGATCTAAATAATTTTCATTGTTATTTTACTTCATTTCTATTTATATATCTTCTGTTTTTATTAAGAATTATTGTCTTGATTGATTGTGCAAAGGGCCCGTTGTTCAATTATCAGGTTGATAAATTGTCATTTAGAACTTTAAATCCGTAATTGTTTAAACGTTCTAATATTAGTGGTAAAGTAACATAGTTGATTTTGATTATGTTATGAAGGTATATAACCTAGTTTAAATGAATCGAGCTTGTGTATTCGTTGGCTAGAATTGGTGGTCTCTCTAGTGGTTAATGATGTTGGTGGATTAAATCTTAAGCGCTTGTCTAGGGTTGTTAGAGCTTCTCTTAATTATCAAGAAACTAAGGAGAGACATGTTGTTAGAGCTTCTCAATAACCATAACCAATTTAGTGAAAAAGTAGAAGATTTTATCATTGCATCTATGATCAATTCTCTGAACCAATTCTGAAATTAAACATTTAGTTAGATATTTGCTTAATATTAATCTCTCTAAATTATTAGTTGATTATAATTGCTTTTCTCATTATTTTTATCAATTTTAAAACCCTTTTTCTTTGCTTTAATTTTCATTAAAATAAGTCTACTCAATCCCTGTGGATTCGACCTTGCTTATCACTACTATAATTTTATATTTCTAAAATCAAGTATTATTATGTGTTGGACTCGACACCCATCAAATTTTTAGCGCTGTTGCCGGGGATTGGTGTCATTTAGACATATTTTGATGCCCCGTTCTTCTCGTTCAGGTGAACTCCAATACGATCCTGAGATCAAGAAGATCGCTCGCATGTTAAGAAAAGAAACTAACTTGCGCAACATACAAGTTTCTTCTTCTTCATCCCTTGAATTGGAATCTGCACTCAACTTGGGTGATTCATCCAGCGATTTTTAAATAGAAGGAACAATGGCCAACGAAGAAAGATATCTAAGAGAATTGGTTGCACCAAATGAAAATCAACAATCGCTCTGCATTGACTACCCAGCTTTGGAGGTAGCTTTTGAATTAAAATCTGGTTTGATTCATTTGTTGCCTACTTTTCATGGACTTGAGAATGAAGATCCTCATAAGCAAGTGAAGGAATTCCACGTGGTATGTTCAAGTATGAGACCGCAAGGAGTGACTGAAGAGCAGATAAAACTGCGTGCTTTTCCGTTCTCGCTAACCGATAGAGCTAAAGATCGGCTCTTCTATTTACCCCCTGGTTCTGTAACTACTTGGGCCGAAATGGTGAGGATGTTCCTTGATAAATTTTCCCTGCTTCAAGAGCTGCTGGCATTAGAAGGGAGATATGTGGAATAAAGCAAAAAGATACTGAGACCCTTCATGAGTATTGGGAACAATTCAAACGACTGTGTGTCACCTGCCCTCAACATGTGATTTCTGAGCAAATTCTCATCCAATATTTCTATAAGGGACTTCTACCCATGGAGAGGAAGATGATGGATTCAGCTAGTGGAGGTGCCTTAGTGAATAAGACTCTTCACGATGCTAGGGAATTGATCTCCATCATGGCCGCTAATTCATAACAATTTGGCTTTAGGCAAGACACATCTTCAAGAAGGGTGAATGAGGTAGGTTCATCCTCCATTGAACATCAATTATCGCATCTCACCTCCCTTGTTCAATAACTAGTTGTAGGAAAAACGCAGCAAGTAAAAGCTTGTGGGATATGTGCTGTGATCGGTCACCCATCTGACATGTTCCCTACACTTTAAAATGATTATCATGAGTACAACTGCAGTTGGAAGGTTTTACAATCCACCACAAAGGAAGTATGATCCTTACTTAAATACCTATAATCCAGGATGGAGAGATCATCCTAACCTGAGCTATGAACCAAGACCATCGCAATTCCAACGTTTTCCACCTGAGCAGTCTTCTTTAAAGCCAGGTATGCCCCTAGAAGAAATTTTTAATTCACTTGCAACTAATACACAACAATTTCAGCAAGAGACAAGAACAAGCATACAAAATTTAGAGAATCAAATGAGTCAATTGACATCCTCCGTGAGTCGGTTAGAATCCCAAGGTAAGTTACCTTCATAAACCATTGTTAATCCAAAGCAAAATGTTAGTGCAATCACATTGAGAAGTGGGAAGGAGTTGAAGGAACCTAGTCCATTGGTATATGAGAGAGCCTTAGAGGAAAAAATGAAAAGGAAGTTGTTGCTTCCCAGACTTAGAAAGACCAACCTAAAGGACTTAAAAGCGAAAAACCGAAGGAATTTGTCATAAAACCTCCTTTTCCTGCTAGATTTGCTAAGTCCAAGAAAGAAGCAGAAGATAAAGAAATTCTTGAGACATTTCGCAAGATCAAGGTAAATATTCTTGAGACTTTTCCTGCTAGGTTCTTAAAGAATTGTGCACCAACAAGAGAAAGCTCAAGGGTAATGAAAAGGTAAGTATGGGGGAGGATGTTTCAACTGTCCTTCAGAAAAAACTACCCCCAAGTGCAAAGATCCAGGTATGTTTATTATCCCTTGTAAACTCGGTAATGGTAGGATTGAGAGAGCAATGTTAGATCTAGGAGCCTCAATAAATATCATGCCTCTTTCTATTTACTCATCTCTGAACGTTGGTCCTTTGAAAGAAACAAGAGTGATTATTCAACTTGCTGATAGATCTAATGTATATCCTGAGGGAGTTTTAGAGGATGTTTTGGTGCTAGTTAATTAATTGGTTTTTCCTACAGATTTTTATGTGCTTGATATGTAAGAAGATGATTCTTCTAAATACACATCAATTTTGTTAGGAATGCCATTTTTAAAAACAGTTAGGAAAAAATTGATGTAAATGATGGTACACTTACCATGGAATTTGATGGTGAAATTATTAAATTCAATATTTATGATGCCATGAGATATCCTAGTGATGTGTCCTCTATTTTTGTCATGGATGTTATTGACCCTCTAGCACATAAAACTTTTAATCAAAATGATGATGACAAGTTGAATGATACACTCAACATGAATTTCACTTCTGAAGGATTGCAGGGAATCATGAAAAAGTTTGTGTTGGATCTTGATTTACAAGATACAATCCAAGAACTAGAATCACTCAAACCCATGAGGTATGATGTATCATATATTGAGTTACCTTTTTCTCACACCAAGCTTCTTCATTCTCTTGTGCAGGCACCAAAGTTGGACGAGTCAGATGTACAAAGGAAATTACAACTGCAAGAGCTAGAGGAAATTCATAATGACGCTTATGAAAGCTCGAGAATCTTCAAGGGAAAGACCAAAACCTTTTATAATCACATGATTTCTAGGAAATATTTCTCTATTGTTGAAATAAAAAGTTTGGATACATGTCAAATATTAAGGTCAATGATCATCGTTTCAAACCTTTTTATGAAGGTTCTCTGGTGCATATTGTTGGTCAAACCATTTTGGAGTACCCAACTTAGGATGATTGAGAAACTACAACGTCTAGCCAAAGACATTAAAGAAATGCGCTCTTGGGAGGCAACCCAATTTTCCCTTTTTCAATTTATATTTTCATTCTTTTTATTTTTATTTTATTTTTATTTTTTTCTTGATGTTTCGGAGTACAATTAATCTTGTTTTCCACTTTAGGTCAGAAGATGAATTTTTGTAACCCATGGGCATGCCTTACAAAAGTAGAATTATTCTTAAAGTCTCTCACTATCTAGAAAATGTTTCTGTATAAGATGTGCCCATGTCTAAACTCAGTACCACTTCTGGTTTAGGAAGCAAGATTCAAAGAAACTTTTTAAAATATAAATGTGCCTTATCTTTTCTTTATTTTCTGTGCTCCTTCAGAAGAGTGTGCGCCACCAGTCGTCCTCCCCGCTCCACCTGACTCACGTCTCCGCTCAGTCTGAGAATCAACTCAGCCGGCGCACATCACCTTCACCCCCATCTCGTGATAGATATCGTGGTTGATGCTCAACATTTTCAGGGGAGTTTTCTACTCTTATTCTTTTATGGTTTTTGAGCATCTACTTTTGATATATTGATGACAATGTATGGATTAAGTGTGGGGGAGAGTATTTCATATATGGTTTTTCTTTGAACATAATTTTGCTTGAAGTTTGAGAAAAAAAACAAGTATTCTTTAGTTCTTGTTTGTGAATTTTCTCTTCGAAATTCTAGATTCTTTCGATGTTTGTCCTTACATGATTTGGATTATTTTGAATTATCAAATTAAGTTGAAGCATAATAGGGGATTAGCTTGAGTATAATTCTTATTTTCTACACACTGGTTGATTACTCTTGATGACTGATTGAATGCAAAATCTGTGGGATTTGATACATGTTTACCCTTTTTGCGAGTTTTTGGGCCAAAGAGCACTCATTTTCAGCATGCTCCATTTCTTGATTGAGTGATTGCCATACATAGTTAATTTTTCTAGAACTTGCTTTGCTATACATATCGAATACCACATTTTAAAATTGGATGCATCAATAACGATAAGGGCATTTAGATGAAACCATTTTTAGCTTTCGTAAAGAGCTCACCCTAATTATCATGCTTAGAAAGCTAATTTTGAGCCTGAGCCTTTTTGTTCGAAATTAACCTTGGTACAAGCAAATATCAAATCATTTTTTTGTTAATTTCCCCTCTTTTGAACCTTGAATTTGAGGATTGTATGAGCTTCTTCACATGAGAATTCAAATTATCTTGAGAAGATCGGAAGTTGTTGGAACATAGTGATTCGAGTTGCAATCTCTTTCATTGAAAAAAAAGAAGGCAGAATTGTGCAAAGGAAATGAAGAAAGAAAGATTGTGCAATGAAAAAAAAGTTATATGGCTTGAAGAGAACATTTGAGATTGAGTTCCATTTGGATAAGTTTGTAGGACTTCTTCGATAAAATAGCTCAAATTCATTTTTACCAAACCTCACCTAAGCCCCATTACACCCTGTTTAAGACCCTGAGGTTTTTATGCATTCAATTCATTGATTAGTGGTGGGAATGTGATAGGTTAGCAAGCTTATGGTAAAAATCTTTCTATGTTTTGTCTTAAGAGCTTATTAACACCCTAAACACTTCGAGCGTATTGAGTGAATCCAATGTGAGGGTATTAGATCCCACTGTATTTTGATTTCGAAAAGATTGATGGAGTAATTATTCATGTGTGTTGGTTTATGAGAATTTCTTCTAAGAATTGCTCGTTCCTTACTTGTGTCTAGATTTGAGTCTTTAAGGTATGACAATTTGATACTGGAAGGATGAGCAAAGGAAGAAGAATGATTGATGTCGAGAAGAGTTATGAATTTGAATTATTGTATGCTTGAGGACAAACATTGGTTTAAGTGTGGGGGAATTTGATAAGATGCATATTAGACATATATTATATGATATTTTCCTCATATTTGAATAACTAAAATTGCTTAAATCATGGATTTTGATTATATTTCGTATTTTGTGGATTAGGTTGAAGATTTGGATTTAACAAGTTCAAAATCTAACGATTAGCATGATCTTCACTAAATCCCCAAATTAAGGAGGAAAAATAAGAATTCAAGAAGTTGGCAAGACCAGAAGAGGTTTTCGCATAAGACGTGGGCACTGTTTATTCATCTCGAGCTATCGTAGAAGAAGTCTACAATTAAGGCATGGGCGCGTCTTACCAGTCTGTATAACCGTAAATTAGGGTTACAAATTTACAAGGAAAAAGGAGTTTAATGACTGCTGGAAGACTCTTTTGAATTATTCTTATCTTTATAAAAGGATGAGGGTATTTAAAACCCCTATTTTTGAGGGATTTTCTTTGGGGGGAAACTTCCTTATCTAGAATAGGGAAATCCTTATAAAAGGGGAGCTAGTGATTTCATAGGAGGCATCAAGTTTGCATTAAGTTATCTTTAAGATTATTTTTCAGACTTCATCTTTATTTTCTTTTGGTTTTCTTTCAATTATGAGTAGCTAAATACTTTTGTTCCAATTGGAGGATAATTGAAGTTTTGGTTCTTCAAGGATTGTGAGATCTAAATAATTTTCATTGTTCTTTTACTTCTTTGCTATTTATATATCTTCTGTTTTTGTTAAGAATTATTGTCTTGATTGATTGTGAAAGAGCCTATTGTTCAATTATCAGGTTGATAAATTGCCATTTATAACTTTAATCCGTAATTGTTTAAACGTTCTAATATTAGTGGTAAAGTAACATAGTTGATTTTGATTATGTTATGAAGGTATATAACCTAGTCTAAATGAATCGAGCATGTGTATTTGTTGGCTAGAATTGGTGGTCCTCTAGTGGTTAATGTTGTTAGTGGATTAAATCTTAAGCGCTTGTCTAGGGTTGTTCATTAACAAGGGAAATAATCAAAGAGCTTCTCTTGATTATCAAGAAACTAAGGAGAGACAGGTTGTTAGAGCTTCTCAATAACCATAACCAATTTAGTGAAAAGTAGAAGATTTTATCATTGCATCTGTGATCAATTCTCTGAACCAATTCTGAAATTATACCTTTAGTTGGATATTTGCTTAATATTAATCTCTCTAAATTCTTAGTTGATTATAATTGTTTTTCTCATTATTTTTATCAATTTCAAAACAATTTTTCTTTGCTTTAATTTTCATTAAAATAATTCTACCCAATCCCTGTTGATTCGTCTTTTCTTATCGCTACTACAATTTTATATTTCTAAAAGCAAGTATTATTATTTGTTGGATTCGACACCCACCAATTATGGTCATGTGTTTCGCCGTTCTTCCTCTCCTCTTGATATAATAGCAGTCGAAACGAGTTTTTTCCTTAAAAGCGAGATTTTGAAAATTGCACCATTTTTAATTTCTTCTTGTTTTTAATTTTAAAAAAATAATTTGATTTAGAAAACCTCTCGTTTTGAAAATTTAGAAATTCCTTTATGATAAAAAAAACGGTTTGAAGAGTTTTAATAAATTTTTTCTCATAACTGTTTTTAGGTTGATTAATTGTTTGTTGTTTTAAAAACAGTTACGACTTTTAATTTGGAAAATTCGGTGATTTTGGATTAATTGGATAAAATTTCATAGAGACGCCATCAACCTTTGGGTTGGTAGGTCGAATACCTAAAAATGTCTTTAAAAAAATAATTTTAAGAAAAATCATTTTTAAGACAAAAGTTGGTCTGCGTTTACCAAATATTTAATTAAAACGGGTTCAGGAGTCGGTTAAGCGTGAGGAAGGGTTAGCACCCTCACAATGCCCTAAATCGGTACCTGGTCAATTAATTAATGTCTTTGCAATTAAATTTATAAATTCAAATTTGACTTGGTTTATGATCCCTTAAAACAACAAAATGTGAATTTTATAATATTCAGTAATACCCAAATGAATTGAATTAAAATTACCAAGCCTTTAAAGAAAAGATAAAGAATATTCGATTATTTAAAAAAATATCAAGACCAGATCTTAGATGAGTTCTAACGATCTTTTCTCGAAAATTTAAATAGTCGAACATTTTTTTTCTTTCATTCCCAAATTTTAAAGTGAAGAATCAATTTTTTTGGTGTCACTGATGGGATACACTTCTAATTTAAAATCATCAAAAGCGGATATCTAATCAGTTAAGACAATCCACTTAAAATAATTTTAAATTAAAAGGGTCTTACCCTTAATCCAATTATGTAATTATGAGTCGAGTTATGCACATGAGGATATCATATAATTCATATAAAAAATGTCATACGATTAGTAAATTAATCATTTGTATACTTACA